ACACACACACACACACACACACACACACACACACACACACATAGACACAGATTTATTTATTGGTCCCTGTCTACATTGTTGGTTTTGTTTAACTAAAGAGGCGCACACTGGCATGCTGATCGCCATTTATTGTTGAGAAAAAGTAAGACAGAGACAACATGTACAATTGTGCAATATTTAATTTTTTTCTTTTATGTATTAGTTTTTTTCATTTGTACCCTCCCCCAATCCCAGAAAAAGATCCAAAATGAAAGCCAAAGGAAACATCATCAACCACCCCCATCCCCACCCCTTCAAAATTAAACAACAAAATAACAATACGAGACAAAAAAAACAAACCCAGTCAAACAAACAATACAAACTAACAAACAAGTAAGCAAACATTCAAACAAACAAACACACATATAAACAAACAAACAGCCAAAGCAAAATTATAAACAAAACAACCCCCCCCTCCCCCAACTAACAGAACAACCCCATTCTTTCCTTGTATAATATTCTACCTGTAAACCTGTGAATGTAGACCATGCCCAACACGAGGCCAGCAGCTAAGGTGAAGAAAATAGGTGTGGGCACCTTCACACCGCCCATGTTGAGCCAGATATATGGGCCCACACGCCGACTGGTCGCTCGAAGATATTTGCAAACACTCTTCACCGAGCTCAGATCCTAAATTGTGGAAGATTAAAAGAAATACCGTTTTGATACATTATTATGCCTGTAACTAATTATTTCATTTTTGAAATAAAAAAAAGTTTTAAAAAACAAGACTTCCAAAATCAGTTATAATTATGAAAGCATCAATCACTACCACGACCACCACCACAAATGACTACAACAAAATATAAAAAAGAACAACAAAACAACATTAACACCACTACCACCGCTGCCAACAACAAGAACAACAACATCCTCGTATTTTAAACTTTTTAAAGAAAATGTAAAATCTTCTTCTTTAAAAGCAAAGGAATAGAGAAGAAGTACAAAATGTCATTTGCATACGAAACGCACATTATGTTAGTTTAATAAACCGTAATGAAAATCCCAACATTTTTATTTTTGAAGGGGACAATAACACACAATGTATATGTACATCAACTGTTAGAAAAAGTAAAACGCACCTCCTCTGTCAAAAGAAAGAAAAAAAAGAAAAATAGCTAAAACAGAAAATAGCAGAACCCCCCCCCTCGCCAATCCAACTTCCTCATAACACTGCTTTTCTCAAAATTCGTTGGTACGACAGACATGTCCTTTAAATTCCTGAGTTCTCAAGGCCACAGTCTCTGCTCAAGGCTTGCTCTACCTCTAACCCCCTCCCCATCCCCCTCCTCCGTGCCCCCTTTATCCCCAATCTTTCCCATTGCCACTAAATCTCAGATCCCAGATGAACCTCGCCCATCTTTCCTCTCGGCTTCCTCTCCTTGTCTAATCGCTCTTCGCGCTAATCTGATTCTAATCTCGCCCAGATAATTCATACCTTCAGGGCAATACGACAAAACTTGACGCTTATCTCGCTCATCCAAAGCCGCTTCTGCGAGACTTTAGGCTCGCGTTTCCGTTCCCTGTTTTCTATACATATTATATTTGTGAAAGTTTGTCACTTTGGCCGCCTAAAACTTCCCAACCACTTACCTTTCGAATTTAACAAAATTAACCGTGGTTCAGAATCAGCTAAAGGGTGCACAGTTTTATTGAGGAGCCTGAAGTCATTGTAGTTTAATTTTAAGTTTTTCATTAGTTTCGTTTAGATCTAATCTTGGGAAAGTCCGTCTTCCAAGACGCCACTGTAAACAAATGAAAATTCCGTCTCTAATCGTGCGCACCTTTGAAATTCTGGAGTGCACAACCACGAAAGCAGAATAGAGAATCAATCTATACATCTCTATATATCTAAACCTTCAATTTGTTTGCATCTGATCTCTAAAGATTAATTGCTCCATTCAAGTAGAGTCTAAATATAGTAGGCCAATGACTTTCAGTTGATGTTAGTGCCGCGATCGTTCCTTTCACAGAAAGGGGGTCCAGCTAGTACTATA